CAGTATTATTTGATGGGAGAAATTTCTGATCTGGCCTCTCCCCTACCTTTGCCTTTGTAGAAGCTTACCCTGTGTCTTGATGTCTAGCTTCTCTCATCCCTTCCAACAATAGTGGCTAGCTACTATTTTGACTCTCAGAATTTAGCTATGGGTGGTTTTTCAAAGAGAGAAAATTGCAAGGGTATGAGATTTAACTAAAGAAGAAAAGTAGGATATAAGAATGACATGGCAGGTCACAGGGCTAACTTAAATGTAACATCAGCTGTGTCAGATCCAGACTCTAGGTGACTGATCTATGAAAACTATAGTAAAACATAATGAAGGCTGATAATCAAATAAAAAAGAGAGAAAGGTCATGGCCCATGCCATTCCACCATCCCAAGTTGTTGTTAAAGCAGAATATAATTTTCCCTCTCAAACCTGTTAAATCATATTCAAGGAGGAATCCAGATAGCCTCTTATTTTGTCTCAGAAGAACTGAAGATTCTGAACAGTAGTAGGAAGTTCCTCCATAGGATGTCAGACCCCATTGTTGACTACCCCCATGTAAGTACCCCTGAGCAGAGTCTTAGAATGAAGAAGAGTCGGGGTACTAAGCCAACCCATCTATGATCAGATTTCCCCTCCACCACGAAACAGCTTGTTCATGTACCATCAAGTACTTTTCTATGCCTCCATTTCTTCATCTCTAAAGAAGGGGATAGTAAGAGGAGTTGTAAGAAAAATTAAATGAATTAATACATAGGCACAACACTTGGCAAACTGCCTGTCATTGATGAGTGTTCCATGAATGTTAGTGGCTCTTTGGTTTTAACATTTCAAAGAGTTGAGACAACTGTAGCCTTCTCCCTTGTGATTTACCATTAATTTACCATTTTATTATTATTGTTTTAAATTAGTAATCCTCCCGTCTTCCACAAAGCTGCCCTGTGTCAGGCAGTCTTCCTGGGAAAGGTGGGCTTTGAAATGAAAATGAGAAAGAATTTGCAGGATGTTTCTCAGCATGCATTCTCAAATTTCCCCATGGTAAGAATTACTTGGAACCATGATTCTCTCCCAGAAGCACCAATCACTTAGGAGAATGGGGATGGTGTCCCCTGAAGCAGGTCAATAGCCAGGCCTGGGGTCTTGTTAAATGTACAGATAATCATACTTCTCTCCTGGAAATCCTGATTCAGGTGGTCAGGGTCAAAACCAAGGAATCTATATTTTTAACAAGCATTCTAGGTAATTCTTCAGAGAAGTTCAAGAAATTCTGGAGTAGAGGGAGGGGTTGAACATAGAAAAGAATACTAGGTGAAAAAAATGGTAGAGAATTAGATGCACACCCAGAGGAATAATGGATATAGCCAGCAAAGATGATTTTGAGTAAATCCATGGGAGATGGTGGAACAAGTGGAACAAGGGAGGAAGCAAATACAGAGAGCATCACATTATGGCTGCTGTAGACCAGCTTCTCTTTCAGGATTGAGGTTTGAAGTCCATTCTGCTAGAAGACCTCCAGAAACTAAAAGTACGGCAACCATTCCTGGGGAAGGTATGCTGTTTTTGTGGTTGCATCCTTGGCAGCCAGATAGCTATATTGCCCTGGACGATAGCATGGTGGTGAAGTTGCAAGAAGAAACAAAAGCTACAAGAAATACACTGATTCACCTCCCTTTCAACTCTGCATTTTACCATACCCAGTGCATCTTAGCTTTGGCTGGTATTAGAATCACCTGCCAAGCATTTTCCTGCCTTTTGCAGACCCTGTCTCAGACTAATGAAGCCATGACCCACAGCAGCAGGGTCCTGACTTTAACACTCTTAACCTCTCCCTATGACTCTAAAAAGCAGCCAAGGTGAGAACCATTCAATGAGACAAGTGGTTCTCAATCTGAGTTGCATGTTAGAATCATCTGGAGATCAATATAAAGTACTTATGCCTGAGACCCACACATTGAGATCCCCATTTAGTCAGTCTTGGGTGTAGCTTGGCAACTAGAAATTTTAAAAGGACACCAGTTGTTCACCAGGTGCAGCCCAGGTTGAGAACTATTTGGCCAGTTTTCCTTGACCATCTATAACCACTGAACAAACTAGATGGCTGAAAATCAGGTGCAACTGCTTTGAAATTTAAATCAATACATCAGTGTTGAGAGTGAAGATCAAGCTAGGATTAGCATAAGGAGGCAGTCCCTGAGGCCAGCCTCCTTTCTAAGGCTAAAATTGAGAGGTGACGCCACTGCCCAGAGCACACCTGCATTGCTGTGATCACTTAATGTTCCTGAACTTCTTTGGGGATAACCACTTCTCAAGTACATCATTAAGTCATTGACCACACCTCTCTGGTCATTTAAGGTAAAGGATCTCACAGAGAGGGTCCTAGACAGTCCTTTCATGGCTAAGATAGATTGTTTGTCTTAAAATTCAAGGGAGAGAAACAGAACCACAGATAAACACAGTGTAAAACAATGGACATATATACCACCATGAAACCTCCCCTTGTAACTCTACCTGAATTCTTCTGTTGGCCTGTGGACTGCTTCTCATCAGGCTATTGTTAAGTAGGAATTTCTTAATTATTGAACGTATGATCACTTGATAAAAGGGTAAGTTTAGGAGGAGGCGTGGTCATATAGGTTGACTCCATGGAATTAATGAGCACTTTTCTGAGACGTTAGGGTAAGCTCTATCTCAGAAAAAATATACTTTCATCCATATACCTTTGTTAGGTTAACCTAGCATGTAGTGGGATTGCTTTTTGTGGTTAAAAAAATCCATACAGAATTGATACATCTTGATGGCTACCATTTTTTTACAAATATTTTTGTAAATTTTGTTGGCATTGCTTCAGAGTTCATCACATATTCTTTAAAATATTGCTATTGGTGCTAACTCTGTGCTTTTATATAGATTTGATTTGCTAGTCAGAACTCATTTGAGGCAACTCTTTTGGAGACAGTGAGTAATTAAAAAGGATAATCATTATCCTTTGTTCAGAAACTTTCTCAGAAATCATAAAGTCAGTGAAAAGATGTAAGAAGCATAAGTTACCCAAAAAGAAAGAAAGAAGAAAATGGAAGGAAAGAGGAAAGTGGAGAAATGGTGGCTTTTTTTAAGAGTAAGTATATAATATTAGAAAGAAAAGTGCTGTGGGCAACCATCATATTTTGTAAAATTCTGGAACAATTTTTTAAAAAGGCCTAATTGGTTTACAGTTATACTTATAAGTTGTATTTTAAAAGTTTCCCCTATTCGTTCACTTACCATTTTGCATTTATTTATATTGGTTGCCTCCCATGGCTCTTCTCCTATGTCTAGCAGGCTGGACACTTCTTAGAGAAAATGCAGACGTGGGATGCAAGGTAGCAGAGTCTTCTAGGATTGGGGAGTATGAACTAGATGGAGCCACCTTACTCATGAGACCACCTCACATAGATGAGTGAATGGCTATTCCTAAGAGCTTGCCCCTGTGGATAAACCCGATAGCCATTATTGTTACAGTATTCTTCTTGGGAGCCTGCTATAAATAGAGGTCATTCTAAGCACTTTTTTGGCCTGCCCAAGACTATCATACCTTTAATTTCAGGTACCCATGTCTTACAGCCCCTTGAGTAAGTCAAATATAAGCAAGTCAAAACCAGTATTCAATCAAAACATCTTCATTTTCAGGAACATTAATTTTATTGCTCTCAAACTTTGGAATTTTGATGCCAGATATTGATGAGGCTCAAAAAGTTTGAGTCAGAGTGAAAAGGCAGCAAAAATCCAATGACAGGAGCTTTTATTGTTTTAAGAGAGGTAATAAATGAACTTAGCTGTGACTTTTGTTATGTGAAAGAGAAACATAAAAATACTGTTCTCAGAGCATGTATAATTTTGTTTAGACTTCACTGGTGCAGAAATGATTAGAATTTTCAACTGAATGTTAAATTCTAGTGAATTTTCAAATGGTAGCACTATTTATATTCCAGGGTGTACCTCTTGCAACAGTAAAACTTTCTTAAGATGCTTTAAGAAATGTTCAATCACTAGATTCTTTCTGAAGCATTGAAACATTTGAACAAGACCAATCAAACTAAGACCAAAACGATGCATTTATCTTGGTTCTTGATGATCCACATGCACAGTAAAATATCACAAATGAGAACTGGAAGCCTCTATACTGCTGCTTCTGAGGCATTTAAGAGCCTAGCCAATCTCATTGGGGCATTTGTATAATCTGCCTGACACAGATGTTCTTATTTCTAGAGAAATAAACTGTACGTCTGAATTAGAATGCACTACATTGTGGAAATGCCACAGTTGAAAACATCTTAAGAGAGTTTTATCAGCTTCTTAGATTTACTAAATCAAAGTAAAATAGCATTTTCCATTTTTATTTTCTTTTAGTGCATCATTAAAAATAATTTGGCAAGACAGGGCTTATTTCAACTGATGAGTTCTCTTACCTTCTTCACATAGCAAGCCTAGTTTGGTGAGGAAATTATTATCCATAACATGACACCATGTAACATTCTCTTCTGAATTGACAGCATTTCTTTTTCTTGCCTTTTTTAAAAATAGTTTTTTGATATTATATTCATAATAATAGAGTCTGGAATTTTATGATTTCCCTAACTTGTTGCAATATACTCATTTTTTTCTAATAGCCTATATTTTAAAAATGTAATCTCCGTTCAGCATAGAAATTCATATAAGCTCAGTTTGAAATGCCCTAGCCTTAGAAACATCTTCTGGCATGACATTTTGGTAACACATAGCATTAATATTCTGGTGCAACAGCTTGTACATGGTCCATATTCTGACGTTACCATGATTTTGTTGATGAGGTCCCCGCATGCCTATTTCATGATCTTTCTAAACTCTCTAAGTCCAAGATATATCAACACATTCCTTGCAACATCCATTCAAACGCAGCACCCTTCCCTTCCCTCATCTGAATACATCGAACCAATTGGCAGACAGCACATGTCCCCCTGAGCGAGCAGTATTGTGAATTTTATCTTCTCTTCCAGAAATCAGTTCGTCTTCGTTGCAGCAGATGAAATTTCTTGTAACACCTCTGCAGGTAACAAACATTGCTACTTCTTGATGCATCCATCCACGTCTCAGTATCCTTTTTTTTTTTCTTTTCCTTCACATGCTGCAGTCGGTCACTCTAGAAAGTTTAGTTAAAAAAAAACAAAGTTCGTATATCTTTGGAGTATAGCGGGAGTCTTTATTCTCTGCTGTCTAAAAAGACATTAGACATTTTGCTAACTTTGAGATTTTATTTTTGGTTTTAATAATACATGATCCAGAAAAGTAAGACTATGTTGAATGAAGCCACAATAAAATCTTATGTTAAAATGCTGAGCAGGGGAAATGAGGGACACAGATGTGTGACTTCTATATTTTTTGATGCATTATGTCCGGGTTCACACAGATTTATATATGAATTATTTGGGATCTTTATGGAATGACTGGTATGTATTATAGGCCCCCAAAGACTAAATCTATAAAGCTGGAGGCATTGGGGAATATTATTATCTCTCTTATAAGAAGGGGATCTTCATTCCATTAGTTAAAGATCCTCTATTTCCTTTTTCTTAAGACATATTAGAAGGAGTAGGACTTAGAGAGATGAAGTCTTCTGTTTTTGAAATCAGGGAATTGGCAAATGGAAACTGCACCTGCATGATGTGTCCATCACAATAATGCCTGTCTTTTTGCTTTGATATGGTTCAGAACAGTTAAATTTGGACTTTCATTAGCATGGAATTACTTGATTAAATGTCAAGATAGGTGAGTGCCTTAACTAACAACAGACTTGTATTTATTTATTTATTTATTTATTTAACTTTTAAGCCTAAACTATGACTGTAATGATTACTGAGAGATCTTACCAAGGTGTGCTTTTAGCAAAAAGGGTGCACATTGCAGTTCAACCACACAGAGTTGAGCATGCCATGACCTTCAAAAGTATACATTAAACTGAGCCTTGCAAATAGACATTCTTCAGTTACCCATCACATTTGATCAATTGGACCATAAACAGAGCCATATTTGTTTCACTCCCTACTTACAGTCTTTGGAGAGAAGGAACTAAAGGGAGGACAGCGAACTAAGAACATGTCCCCAACCCTCTCTGCTCTAAAAAACAGGGCTACAGAAAATTTCACCTATTTCATTGATATTGTCAGTCTCAGTGTTTTTAGTGAATTAAAGTCTCACCTGGGGAGCTAAAGGAGTATTCATGCTCATATTTTAAAGCCACATCTTAGTTCATTTCTATAAAACCCTTTGGATAATGGTCTTCCTCAGCCCTTAACCCCAAATGTCTCTGCTTCTCCCCATGAGAGGTGGTGACATCCATAATACTTCACTAATGCCTAATAGGAGAACACTGATAGTTGCATTGCTGTGGATGGCAGGAGAATGAGCCTGGGATACAAGTGTCATTTAACATTTTCAAAACCTTGAGAATGAAGCATGCAACTAAAGGGGAAACTGCTTGGGGTGAGGAAGAAAGTTGGTTTAAAATGGTAATAGACATCATTGGTGGATACGCTGGTCCTCCAGAGCCTCTATCTTCCCTGTTAAACTATATGCATTCCCCAGTGGGTCTTAGGCTATATTCTGACATCATAGATAAAACATTGCACAGTTACAACCCAAGAGGTAGATATTGATTTTTTGTCTTGTGACTTAACAAACCCTGCCTTGTAAGCAAGTGGTCCACACATAATATTCCAAGAAGAGGCTGTGGATAATGGAAGTTTGCCTGAGCAGAGCGACTGTTTTCACCTACCTTATCTAATTTAGGATGGCTACTCAGTAAATTCTTAATGAATTGCTATTGATCAAATTTCAAATTGAGAGAGATATCCCTGTTGCTTTGATGGCCATATTAATAATATGTTGCATGCTTCATAAGGTTCCATTTGAACTCTGATTTTTGAATCAAGCATGAAAAAGGAGACACCCACATCAAACAAAAGTCAAATTATCTCCCAGCCAGTCCACCCTCCTCATAGAGTGAAAGTGAAAAATCAGAACTGCTGAGTCCATAAAGGTTGTAACTCATGGTTTCAGTCTAGTCTTCCAGGGCCTCATCTCCCACATGCTGGAAAAACCCAGGATACCTACATTGTAAACATCACACCTGTCAGGAGGCTTCACCTCTGTATATAAAACACTTCTTAGGATTTGACAGACACTTTCAGCATTGACAAAAGGCAACTTTTCTCTTTTCGAATGAAGAAATTTAAAGATGTTTAAAATCTCAGTTTTGAGTGCTTGATGAAGATTGTAACTGAAATTCATATAAGGATGTATTATTCCTACATGGCTGCCGATAAGGGCAGAGCTGGCCAGGCAGTTTTGTTTGGGGCTCTGGATAGAGATGGTAAAAATCATCAAACAGTAACAACAGTAAGACTGAAGGATTTTTCTTTCAGTTCCCAAAGTAAAAGTAATGATTTTCATGTGGACCTTTTGGAGAGGATACCAAAACATCAATTCTGCTTTTACTAGCCACATAGAACAAAAAAATTTCATAGCATTTGTAGATTATGAGACTGTATTGACAAGGAAATTGATTTTTTGAATCAGTGGCTCCAAAAATCTTATTAGACGTTTTGTTTTGGTTGTTCCTGAAACAACCAGACATGCTCACATGGGTGTCCCATCTATTACTTCCACCTTGAACACTGCAATTGCCTCTTGTACTATGACACCAAGATCCTCTGACAAGTTGAATTTTGCAAGAGATGGTCAAAGGGACAAGATCGTTCTCCCTTCACTGACACCCGAGGTCTCCCTAATGTTGTGATTCATTGGAGCTTTTCCAGGACTGGCTAATGACTGTAGTTATAGTAAGATATGAATCTTGGATAAGCATGGAGTTTGAAAAGCAATTTACTTATTTTGACAGAGCAGCTGGAAATTCATTTCAGTGGATTCATATGTCTTGAGTCATCACTGGGTATCAGCAACTGTTTTCAGCCCTCGGGACACAGCATGAAAGAAGTCAGGAGAAGCCCTTCCTTCAGAGAGCCTTAATTCTAGTACACACCAGATTCCAATCATGTAGATGGATGAGCATGTAATATGTTGGCATGTAAAGTGATAGAATAGCTATAATGAATCAAACAGCAGAGGAGGGGGTGGAAAGTACCATGAGATGCTACTTTACATTCACTGATTAGAGTAGGCCTCTCTGAGAAGGTAACCTTTGAGCAGGGACCTGAATCAAGTGAAGTTGCGAACCAGGTAAGTAATTGTGGAATTTAAAGCACTTCAGGCAGAATGGAGGCAAGTGCAAATGCCCCATGGGTGAAGCTGCCTGAAGTGTCCAAGCACAGTAAGATATCCAGTGTGTCTAGAGCACACAAGCACAGGGGGAGGTTTAGAAATAATATTGCGAAGATAACCAGGGGTCAGAACAAATGAGGACCTGGAGGCTGCAGAAACTATTTGAAATTTTATTTTAAGTGTGCTAGGAAGGCACTGGAAGGTCAGCTGTGATCTGATTTATTTTTTATTGATGTGTTAGACTGCCTTGTGAAGAATGGTTTGCAATATGGTGAAAGCAGGGGAAAGGACCCTAGTTGTGAGTCTCTTGCAGCTCCTCAGCAAGGGGTGCAATGACCTGCACCAGGATGATGTCTGTGAAGGAGCTGAGAAGTGGTTGCCTTTGGGCTGTATTTTGAAAAGTGAACAAACAGGATATGTCTGTATATTAGAAATTTACCAGGTGAATTTTGTGTTAAAGGTCCATGCCCTCCTTCTTACTCCAAGGGTGTATTGGTCATTCCCATGGAGACTAAGGCTTTTTGTCACTATGGAAAGCAAGCCCTTAATCTTAGCAGTCACTGTCCCTCACATGGGCTTTGCTGAGTTCTCTGGAGCATAGTAATAACTTGCTATCACTTACTGAGCAAATTCTGTGTGTTAGCAAGTATGATTAATTATATGTGTGTGTATAGGCATGCATATATAATTTATTACAAGAGCTCAGTGAGGTACATGTTACTATCATTCTTGTTTTCAGGTTGAAAAAAATGTTCAGGTCTGGAGAGTTTTGGTAATTTGCCCATAGTCACACTGGAGTCTATCTGATACCAAAGCTCTCTTTCCACTGGACCACACCATCCCCACGTACTGCTTTTATCTTGACTTTGCAACATTGACCTTTGCCTCCAGATAGAATTCTCCTGCTTTCTTTAGCTGTGCTATCTTGCTCCAAGAAAACTAATATTTGTGTGTTGGGGGCATAGTTGTGGAAATTTTGAGGCTGCTCATGGGAACTGAACAGTTCTCTAAACAATTGTTCCACTAGGCTTATATGATGTGGTCCATCCCCTTCATACAGCAGGTATATGTTGAGTCTCAGATGCGCTGGGAACTGATCTAGGTATAGGGATAAAGTGAGGAAGGGAGAACCTACCTTGTCAGGTGTCACTTTGTTTATCCAGAAGACGAAGGGTTAAACAAGCAGATTATGGTCCAGGTCAGTTCCCTGAAAGCCTTTCTGCTGCCAAAAATCAGTGGTTAAAAAATCACCTAACAAGATAAGCCATTCTCAGAAAACTATGAGACACTTTGAACTAGTTGTTTTAGCTTCAGGGTCTAAGTTCCCCAGCTGCTCCCTGCTCAAAGGAGTGCATGTACGCAGCCTTGTGTGTTTATGAGGTGCAGGTGGAAGCCGGGTCTTGGTCCATCAGCAAGTCTTGCTCCTTCTACCACGCCAGCTACCATCTTAGTGGCATGGAGAGTCAACCTGGGGACACACTCCAAGTCCTTTTGAGAGCTGGTCACACATATGGCATAAGGGTAGGGGTCTGTGAAAAGGCTTGGCCAAAGGAACACATCTGTAAAAGCTGCTGAAACCATCCTCTGCGGGAACAGGTTAATATACACTTTATTGAGAAGTTATTAGAAGCAATATTTGGCAAGTTCAGAGGCACAAGGGGGGGTTTCACTTCCCCTTGCATCCTTCTATATCCCTCAGCCTGCACACCTGTACACACATGTGCAGGCACATAGCATCCATGCAGCTGCCCTAAGACCAGATAATATTTATAA